AGATCGGCTTCCTATATTTATTTTGGGTGTAAAGGTCTAACATAGCGTGGTTCTGGGTAAATCTAATTTGGTTCTAGGTGTAGATAGCTGAGGAATGTCACTTTCTCAATGGAAACTGGATTATTCTGTTTCGTCTCGGAATTGCAGGACGTCGGAGAATGTGTATAACCCACCAGGCTTTCATACGGGAGCTACTTCAGCTCAGCATCATGTCGGTCACATCGTTTAACTTGTTTTTTCGAAGGTCTGGTTTGGAATAAAGTGCTTGATGTAATTGCAGGTGGATAGCGATCAAGCGTCTGAACAGCAAGAACATTTGGCGAAGAAAAGGGCTTGGGACGTGGCTATGGCTCCAGCTAAAAGTCTTCCAATGAATATGTTCATGATGTATATGGCAGGACGAAGTGTGAGTGCTTAGTTATAGCAGGAATTGCTGAGTTATTAGCACAATTGTGGCACCCCAAGCGGGACTCGAGCGCTGTCCGCTCTTACTATGCTTAGTAAAACTTTCATTTTGTTGCGAACATTAAAGCCGTATTTATGATTTATGGAGAATCAGCAAAAAAAGAACTAAGTATCGATCTGAAGGGTCCGCGACACGGAAAGGGCGCGATCCTCGCGAATCGACAAGATTTTTGAACCTGCTGCTACCGAACCGCGGAAACAGTAATAAATAGAACATTGAATGCTATTTGATCCTTTGTCGCCAGCTCTCAACGATCGCGCATTCTTTCGAATCGCTTACTCTTCTGGTAACTTGTGGGCCTTCGCATTCGTGAGGTATGAAAGTGACCTTATAAGCTGGAATTTTTTCCGAGCACTGCTCAACTGTGGTGTATGCTGCCATAGTCTGAAAAGTTGGCAATGTGTGAATTGCAGAATGTTTGTTATGCTGTGGGAGCTTAATGGCGAGTCGCCCGCTTACCACGCATGCGGTCCGAGGGTCAGATCCCGGATGGGCTGCCCTACGGAGCAACCAAGTTTTCGATTTTATTGTGGCCATTTAAATTGTACCGGATTTGTCTGGGCAGCTAAGAATACTAGCTTATCTATCGGGTAGCAAGCGAACCTCATAGTATTACCCATATCACATTCATGGTGCCACTTGGAATCTGAGAGGAAGAAGAAGGCTTGGCTCATCCCAGGAAAGGAACTGATCAGTGGCGAAAGCTGTCTTCTCCATTATTCTTCTATGGAATAGTATTTGCACGTATCAAGAAATCATTTTTCATCGCATTGCAGGTCTCCATCTTTCCCATTATGATGGTAGGTATGATGTTATGGCGTCCAGCTAAAGCTCTTTTCTCAGTTAATGCAACATTCAAACCGCTTGAGGTAACTTCAATTCTTTAGACTTTCAGGATTTATAGTTGGATTTTTCATTTGATAATATAGCATGATATCCATCGAGATTAACTTAATCCGCGAAGTTTCTAATTTTAAGGATCAGAACACTGGAAGTATGATTATTCACAAATTCGTATTCATCCTTGGCAATCTAGGTGCCATTGCCCTTGCGATATATAAGGTTTGTTTTCCTTGCATGTCATTTTTTGTTCTATCTGTTCATTTTTTCTTTTTTTCTTTTCCCCAGTAGCAGTTCTTACAGGTGCACACAATGGGTCTCTTACCAAATACGCCGTCGGATTGGCTTGAGTTCATCCCTCAAGCGCAACGTCTTCAGTATTCTATAGTCAGTAGTACTTACGTTTGAAACCATTTGATGGTTTAATGTACAGCCTGCTTAATAATTACACTGTCATTGTTAGAGGATGTTGTGTTGTTCGTTGTGACCATAAGCGACCTTAATAGGGTTAGCAAAAATTCCGTTGTTGTTATTATTAATGTGCTCCAATTCTCCTCTTATTCCACTTATTCCTTTTCTTCTGAATTGGGGTTTGTTCCAACATGACCATAACCATATTTAAAAAATCTTAATATTAAGTTAAGCTTGTGTTATTCGAATGGATGTTTGGGTAAGCGGCTGTAAGGTTCTTCTAGTCCGTGGCCTATTGCTATATCGTTCTTGCACTACCTTTCTGTAAAACAATTCGCCTTTTTGTTCTCAATAAACTGTGAGAAACCGCATGTTCTTTTGGATTTTGATAGCGACGTAGATTCGAAGTTTTACTCAGAGTTTCCATTTAAATGTGTGAGTAAAAATGTGTGTGTGTGTGTGTGTGTGTGTGTGT